AAGGGTGACAAAATCTTTACCTTACTGATGAGTTAAGGGACAAATAATAAAAATGCAGAACAAAATAATCCTTATGTTAAGAAAATTGTTGAAGTGGCTGCAGATAGCCTGACTGGTATACCAAAAGTAAACATGTTATTTTCAACTTTTAGAAAATTGTTGCAGAGAAATTAGACATTGAAAAGAAGTCGCCCTAGAGTAATCTTTCATTGGTTTTATTTGAGAAACCATTCTATACAGTAGACTCTCTGTTTCTGAGTTGCATAACGTTTTGGCTCTGTGTGTGTGTGTGTATGTATGTATATTATACTAGAACAAGACTCCACTGTGTCTTTGTTGCTTTTAATCTCAGTTTATTTACCACCTGCTAAAAGTCATCTACAAACAGTGATGAGATCGATGGTATTCTTTCAAACTGAGTTTTTCATTATGACAAAATAAGATGAGACATTAGATTGGTCTGATCTTAATAATAGGATTTCTCCAGTCCTTCCTTGCAGGCTTTTATCAGCAATTTAAATACTTAACAATGCTGGCATTAAAATTTGGCTTCAGAACGGTCAGACTCTTAGCATAGGAGTAGTTCATACTTAAGTTAGAGCTGTTGTTTTGAGGCTGCCAGCAGACCAAGGCAGACTTCAATTTTATAACCATAATGGCTAGAAACTTTTTTTATAAAAGCTTACGCCATGTCTACATGAAATCTTGAGTTTGCGGTAAGCTGAGGTGTGAATCTAGCCTGCTGTGGACTGACTCTGTGAACCCTGCTGGTGTGCATTAACAGTTTGTTAATGCACATCAGCAGGGTCCGCAGGGACAGTTAGTCTGCAGCAGGCTAGTGCAGCGTAGTTTCACATCCTGGCTTGCCGTAAACTAAATGTTCATGTAGATAAGTCCTAAGATTTTGGGATCAGAAGGTGCAGCCAATAGACAAAAGTAAAAGCTCATTGAGCATACACTCAGCTTTAGTGTTTAGTCATTTTGTAATAAATAGTTTACAAAACAAAATATCCTTGCTTTTTCATTGCCTGAACCATTGTGAACATAGCTCTGTTGTGTTTATCCCTTCGCTTGCTGTCAGCCCCATTAGGCTGTTCCATGCTTTCTTTTTCACAATGGCTTTTGAGTTTGTGGATTCTAGTGGTGACATGACAAAGACCTTCAAGAGTATAGGCTTTTAAACTGGATTTCCTTGCAATATCACCATGTTGGTCACTGACAATATTCAGTGATTGAATTAAAATCATAATTCTGACAAATGTTTATTCATTTTGCCTTCACTGCAAAAACCTGAAAGGATTGGGAGGTCTGCTTTAAACTCTTTATGATAGAGTTGGTTCTGAAGACCCATTTCACTAATACTGGTTTGAGGGTTTAGTACTAACAAGCTCTTTAACTCTTATCCACTCAATAAAAGTGGCCGTGAATGTTTAACAAATGGAGCATTTATGTCTAAAAACCCTCTTAGATGCAGGAAACGTCACCAGGAAAATCTGCATGATGAAATGGAAGAGATTCTCTATTTGACCTTCCTGAAAAGGAACCAGGAGAAGTCTTCTATCTGTTCAATTTTGGTCTCTTTGCTGTCCCTTAAACAGTCTGAACTTTCATTGAGCTGTCTCATTCCATCTGGCTGCCATCTTGGTATTTCTTTCTCCAGTATAGGACTTATCTTTGTTCATCCTACAGTCACCAGGTTTCTGAAAGGCATTGTCCATATAGTTCCTCTGACATATGAGCCACATCCAATTCTGTCATGGGATTTGACCTTGCACTAATGAGACTTACGGAGCCTTCATTTGACCTCCTGTCTGACTTTTCTTTGAACTGTCACTCTGTGAAAATGGTGTTCTTCCCAACTGTAACGTCTGCATGGATGGTTAGTGAGATCCAAGCCTTGATGGTGACCCTTACCCTCACCACAGTGTTCCCTTTCACAGTTTCATAAGGATAAAGTGGTCCTACGTCCCCATCCTAAACTCCTTATTAAAGTGATCTAACTTCCATCTCAGGCTAGAAATTTTGTATTTTTCTCTAAACCTCATTCACATCCTGAAGATGTCAGGCGACACTCTAGAATTGAAGAGAAGGCCCTTTAATTATTTAAATATTAACAATTTGTAAGTCTCCTTAAGAATTTCTGGCATGTGGGTCCAGGTGTTAGTCTGTCTCTTCAGAAGTTTGTCTGAATGGATTTAAGTAAACATACTAATTTGTTATGCCTTGATAGGAATTCAAGCATCTGAATATATCAGAACACACGCCACCAAGTCCAGAGGTGCCTCGATTGCATGCCTTAGTAATGTTGATTGATTGCGTGCCTTAGTAATGTTTCCATCACTGTCATTTTGTAGTCTGTAAAAAGCAACAGAGGGTCCTGTTGCACCTTTGAGACTAACAGAAGTATTGGGAGCATAAGCTTTCGTGGGTAAGAACCTCACTTCTTCAGATGCTGTTACTCCCTTGACTTTGCTTCTAGGTTTGATGCCCAATTCTGGAGAACAGTCCTGCAATCTCTATTTAGTTAATATTCTTCAGGTACCCACCTGCTTGTTCTCACAGCAGTGGGGAATCATATTAGCACTTAGCACTTCTTGAAGAAGAAAGAACGGTTATTCCCCTTGTAACTATATAATTCTTCAGGTAATTTGTAATTCTTCAGATTATAATTCATACTCCTCACCCACCTTCTCCATTTCTTCAGAATCTTGATATTGATTCTTGAATTAGTGGAAGGAACTGAGTGGCGTTTGTGGCCTTGCCCCCTTTTCAATCTTCAGATTTTGGCAAGTCGCATCAGGGTGTTTGCGCATGTGATTTCATCAGCTAAAATTTATAAATTAGTGCTCTAGGGAACTGTCTTCTAAAAATGGGTTTCCATATAGGCAGTCATCTTGAAGAACCACAGTTACTGACTTCACCCAGAGATATCTGTATCTTGGAGAATCCATCTTCTGAATTTGCCAAATGGATTTACAGCATTAAGAGGCTCTGAGAATAAGTTGCATGAACATAGAATATCTGGTGTCTACAACTTTTAGACTAGTTGATTCAATAATAGTCCATAAGATTTGAGATGTGTTGGGTGGTAGTACTGTCGCTTGATTTCTACCAGATGTCAGCTTCAGATGTAGAAGGAAGCTTGAAGTTGAGGGCAAGGGGAAAGTTGATGAATACTTTCATGTATACCACTGCGAACAAAAAACTTTACTCCATGTGGGTTCAGATGTACAAAGGTCACCTAAACTCCATTTCCCAAAAATAACCCTGTCCTGTTCAGATCATATAGCTGCACTCAGCAACATTCTCTCTTGGTGTTTCCTTTATAAATCACTTTTCTGGTGTTTATAACCCACCCATAAAGAGAGATGCACCATTTTTTCTCACTTCAGCATTCTGAAAAGTTACGTTTGAGCCCTTAACTTGGATACATTGTCAATTACACATTTAATCTTTATTAAAACATGTATACATCACCTCTTTATTTAAAAGTATATATAATTATCAAGCTTGCTGTGACTGTAAAAGTTTATCCAGTAACAATTTACATCTTGTTTTTAGACTTGCCTACATTTAGAAGAAGTTGAAGGTTTGACATTTGAGACAAAATGTTTAATGAACATAAAACTCATATTAATTTATATTAATGTTAAAACCACACAAATTAGTGTGAAATGAGATTGTCCCACATCTGATTAATGTTACAAATAGGGTGTCTTATCAGCAAAATAGTGACTACCGCATGGTAACTACTGGTATTTTTATGCCATTTGCAGGGGAAAGAGCTATAAAATCCCTGTTATACTATAAAATCCCTTGGAAACTTTGGAGTTAATGTTAAGTGGTGTGGGAGAGGTGGGGAAAATTAGAGTGGGAATAAAATGTTAACCACAGATTAATTTAATTTGAGACATGTCATATTTACCTAATTCCCTTCATGGAATGAATGATAGCTTTTATTATTCAGCTTTAAATTGTTAGTTTTGTGTTTAAATGCTACATTTTGATATATGAAGAAACTTAATTTTTATTACTAGAAATCCTAACCATATCATTTGTTGTCTGATACAATTAATTACCTATTTTCAGTTCCTAATAAGCAATTAACTGTACAGTAAACAATTAATGATATGTCTGGGATTTCTAGTGATGATAAACCTGGCATACAGTAAGAATAATTTTTTTCATGTTACTATCCAACAATGTAAGAAATTTGAACTTGATTTCTACTCCTAAGCCTCTAGCTCCCTGAAGATCAATACATCATTCATTGACCCTTCTGATTAAATCAGAAGTGGCATTAAGTGTCTGAAAAAGACCGCATTACTCATCTAGAATCATGCTACAGTGTATTGTCCATAAGGGTAAGGGGGAAAATGAGGATTTAATTTAGGGCTCCAGCAGGGACACTCATCTTGTGCCTTTTCCTCCAAGAATTTTGCATTTTTCAATAATAGTTGACTTTGGTAATTTCCCCCTAAATATTAAGCTTTGTTTTTTTATAAATCCTTGCAAATGAGATTTGGGCTTTGGCCTATGGTATGCATCTGTTGTAAGGTCTTTGAATTGTGTTTGTTACTGCTTATGTTTTAACTCAAAACATTGCTAACTTGGGTCTCTGGTTCTGCAAACACATTTGTGCTTAACACAATGCATGTGAACAGTCTTAATTGAAGGCAATAGAACTATTCATGTGTATAAAATTAAAATCTGTTAGTGTTTGTAGGCTTAGGCCTTTATCAACACTTGCTTTCAGTTGTAACTGTTTTGTGGTATCTTTAAAAAATTCTGATATGTACTCCCTTTTGTGGTTTTGTTCTTGCCCTTACAACTGCTGCTTGCTGTCAAATATATATATATTTTTTAATATGTACAAGCTGTTCATTAGAATCAGGATCTGTTTTTGTGGGGAAACTATTGCATCAGGTATTCAAACACATTTTACAAAGCTAAGTGATTAAAAAACTGCCTAACTTTTATTACTTTCAATTAACTTATAGGCAGAAGCAAGGCTTGCAGCCAAACGGGCTGCTCGAGCAGAAGCAAGAGATATACGTATGAGAGAACTGGAGCGACAACAGAAAGAGGTAATGTCAATTTTGCTATGCTTTATTATTTTGTACTAAACTTCTTAATGAATTGCCTTGTATTATGTTTCTTAAGAAAAGCTTTATTTATATTTTCAGTATAGTATAGCCATATGTCAGCATTTCCTGCATAGGGTAGCCATTGCTATAGCTTTTTCCAGTGTACTGTTGGAATTCAAATGAGTAACTTGCTCCATTCCTATCTCTGCACATGCGTGGATAGCACTGCATGTATGTAGTCATATTAAAATGTTAATTTTAAACTTCATTAATAACAAAGAATACTAAAGCAAAAAGGGGATCAGCTATTTAAATATGACTGTAACACTTTTGTTTACGATACAACTACAAAAATACCTTTTGAAACTTATGTCTTTTCTAATTTGGCATGGGACTCCAGTTGTTGGAATGTTTTTGTAATAAACAACAGTTTTGTATAATATAACTTGAACAAATGCAATAAATTAATTGCTTAAAAACAAAACTGCTCAAAGACATAGACTGACCTAAATGCTTTCCTTTGAAAATGGACTGTTGTCCTTTTAACTTGGCAATTTATTTTCAGTAAACAGCACATAGAACAACAGCAACATGCAAAAGCCAGTGCCCATATAACTAACTCTGAATATACAAGAAGGCTATTTTAATGCTTTCATTAAAGGAACATCTTTAATTTGAAATCCAGACAATTTTATAAAACGAATTAAAAAAAATTTAAAATACTAAACCTACCCCTGTGTCAGCTGATACTTCATATTGTTTTACAAGGACATTTTCTTGGTTTTTTTAGATGGTTTTTTTTTTCTCTACTGTTGCTGTGGAAAACCTATGCTGTAAGCAGGGGTATCTGAGTGATTGCACCCAAAATGCTGTCAATTGTTCAAAGTAAACAAACTGAAATAGAGAAAATATTTTTTCTCTAATCTTATTTATAATATTCCTGGTTGTTACTTGTAAAAATAATTCGCAGTTCTGTCTGAATTTTTTCCCAAGTTGACGGTGTTCTGTTAAACATGAAAAGAACAAATCTACAACCATGGTACCCGTCTGAGTAATCTGTACAAGAGTGTTTGGACATAAGATAAAACAGTGAATTGAAAAGTTTTTTTAACAATACTCCATGTTTAGGATGAAAAAATGAAAAACACTAATGGGTATCATGAGAGCACTAGTTAAAACTGATACATAGACTGTGGTGAAATGTATACAGAAAGCTGCCTTTTCACTTAGCGTTCTTGTGGGATTGTATGCCTCTTGGCCCCAATGAAGTGAATTTGAGTTTTTCCCTTTGACTGCAACGAAACCAGGATTTCATTCCTCCCTGTCTGTCTGTTAAACAATAAACACACTAGTTAGTTCTGGAGAGTATTCTGATATTCTTGCATTTATAATAATAAAAATGACATTCACTTGAAATGAGTGAATTAAAAAATGGCAGTCTCTCTCAAATTCTTCCATAGAGTTGTGAGAATTTGACAATTTGGTGTGATGGTATGGAGTGAATTAGAAATCAAGGCAGAACTTCTTGAGGAACTTCTTTTGTATTTCGCTTTAATTATTCTAAATGACCTAAAATAAATTTACAGATCTCATATATTCTGTGGACAATTACATGTGACTGTGAATTGTAAATTGTACAAGATGATGTAATCTCTATGATGCCTGTTCTGTATTAATTTTTTTTAAACATTTTGTAGCTTTCTCATCGCTCATATGATAGAAAATGGGGACGTATCCAAAAGTGGATGGTAGGCCAGGACTGCCTGTTGTGCATGTTGTTTACACTTGCAGAACTAACATAGACTTGTAGGGAATACATTTACTAATGGTTTGCAAAGTGTGAACATATTTTATGACTGATGGAAAAAAATCATTACATAAGGTCACATATAGGACACTGCACAGAGGCAAAAAACATTGGAAGTGTGCCATTTTCTCTTTCACAGTGAGTTTGTTTAAAGTTTATACAATTGCATTCAGAATGGAATTAAAGTAGCTTTATGTTGGCAAAGGCTTATTTTTAAAATTGTAAATGTTTCTACGTTAACTTACTTCCACATCTTACTTTATCTTTTTTGTAGACCTGCCTTATTCTATATCAGGGGTCGGCAACGTTTGGCACGCGGCTCGCCAGGGTAAGCACCCTGGCGGGCCGGGCCAGTTTTATTTACCTGCTGACGCGGCAGATTCGGCCGATCGCGGCCCCCACTGGCCGCGGTTCGCCGTCCCGGGCC